CCGGGACCGTTATCGGCGATTCCGTGTAGAGACTCCGACCACCATTCGTAAGGAGGAATACCGAGTCGAGGTACGGAAGCAGCTGTATTGGAGAGCTGTCCGATCTTCTCCGAGAGCGTAAGGAGGGAGACGAGAGAAATAGCTCGCTGTTTTGTGGATAAAGAGACGTTGCAGAATGGGTAGGAACTGAAATGGGGAGGTTTGCAAGGGAATTTTGGATGTGAATCGAGGTTTTTGAAGGATTTGGCTATGGCGGAAGTGAAGAAGAGTAAAGGGATTAGAGTCCAGTGAAGAAGATTCATATTTTCGAGGCGAGAAGGATCTCTGTGGAGAGGAGAGAAAGGAAATGAAGACGTTGAGTTTTAAACCGGACTTAATAGACCGGTGAAATATCAAAATTGACGGTTAGACCGGCTGGTACACTACTACACTGTGCTGTGTATTTGTCACTTGTCACTTAAATGGTGGTTGGATTTGTGAGTGTTAGCATGTTAACTAAACTATAAGTGGGCCAAAACATTTTATGGGCCTTATTTATGACTTGGTCTTTTATCTAATTAAGTTTATCTTTTCTATATTATTTGAGAAATGATTTTCTAAAAAATATGTGTCTTCTCTATAATCGTTTTTTCAAAAAGTATTATGACATAGTATTCTTTAAAATGTGATTTGACAAAATTGAACAAACATTTATCCAACTAATTTTAAACCGGACTAAATAGACCGATGAAATGTAAAATTGACGGTTAAACCGGTTGGTACACTACTACATTATGCGTTTTTGTCACCTAACAGTTAGATGGTGGTTGGTACAATATTCTTTACTCGGCTTGTACTCGCTACTCGGCCCGTACTCGGTTTGAAAAGCAAATACTTGTCCCGGTCAAGCCGAGTAACAAGTCAACATATTCTATTACTTAGAAGTCCGGGCCAAGTATCAAGCCAACAAATTTTTTTTACCACTTGAGTCGTTACTTGGCTTGATACTCGTTTACATTACTTGCATTGATACTTGATAATAATTATTTGTTAATACATGAAGTTATGGACAAATTATCTCTTGGAACTTTAATATTTTGTGATTTTAGAATTTTTGAACTTGAATGTTTTATAATTTGTATGGAGATTTTTTTTATTTTCAAGTATTTTCAAGTACCAAGTATATGATTTTGGTAAGTAACAAGCCGAGTCAAGTTGCTTGCAAGTCACATAATTTTGGATGGGTACTTGATTGAGCAAGTACTTGCTTCGAACGAGTCATGTATCAAGCCAAAATTTTTGTTATTTGAACAAGCCAATCCAAGTCACAAGTACTTGAAAATTATCAAGTATTCGGCTTGTCTCAGGCCTAACTGTTAGCATGTTAAGTAAACTATAAGTGGGCCAAAACATTTTATGGACTTTATTTATGACTTGGGGTCTTTTATCTAATCAAGGTTTATAGTAATAAATAAATTGAGATATGTTAATCTTAATTAAATATGTCAAAATGAACAACCAATCTAATAACTATTAATTCTTTGTTTTGATGATAATTCTTATATTAATGTTACAATTTTTGTGATCTAGTGCTTGAATAACCATGATTTATAAAATGATCCATATTAAAGAAAACTAGATAATTATCTATGTCATGAGTGGGGTAATATTGATTAATAATTATTTATAACAAATTTTTTTAACAAATTTTTAAAAATACAGAATGAAAAGGTGATATAAATATTGCCATTAAAGATTATACTCTCTCCGTTTCTTATTATAAGATGTTTTAGAGCTTTTTTTGTTTTACAATATAAGATATTTTCAGATTTGTATGTACTTTTTACTTTATTGAAAATTATGTAACCAATAGTATTATGTAACTTTTTTCTTAATTGGTATTGTTTATATTTAATAATCTTTTTGATAGAAATTTTTTTTCTTAAACTTTGTGTTTTAACCCAAAACATCATATAATAAGAAATGGATGGAGTAATATATGTTATGATTTTTGAAATAACAAATGAATAACTATTAGTATAAAACATTAAAATCTTATATTTTATCACAAAAAAACCCATTAAAATCTTATACTAATATTTTCTCCGTTTCAAAATGTAAGTTGTTTTGACTAAAAATGCGAATATTAAAAAACTATTTTTTCTCTAAAAAGTATTATCTTATATACTTAAATAATAAAAATAATTTAACCAGTACAAAAAGCGATTGCAAAATACCATTGGTCACACAATAATTAATAAAATTAAAAAAATATTTAAAATTATCAAAACAATTTATATTTTGAAAACATTTGCTGCCAATTGTCACGGATCACGATCACAAGATGCTGGTTCACGTGTGTTTTATCTCTTCTTTTATCTCCTTGCATGCATTCACCTTGAGAACCGTGTGTTTTTTTACGTTATTGTATTTCCAAGATGAACCCAACGAAGTATATATACTGTTAAATATATTTCGTTGAGTATATATTTTCAAAAATACACATCATCCTTTCAATTTTTTTTTTCAAAATCCACATTATTTTTAGATGACTGATACACAATATTTAAAAAAAAAAAAGACTAATACAGTATGTTAGTTATACAAATCGACATAATTCAACCTCGGATTGATTTCGTTTCGGATTAGATCGATATGTGTTCCAAGTGGTGATGATAATTTAATGTTTATGAAGTGTATATATACAGACATTGATAATGTCCGATTGACTAATGACTAGTATAATAATGGAGTGAGGATAGAGTAGGAGACAGGGCACTGTGTCTGCATCTATAAGTGTGTGTCCACAAACTCTCATGCAACTCGTAGCTTCACATACATACAAATTTCGTTGACTCGCACTAAAAGCCTTACGATCTCTTTGACCTGTCAGTCTTTTCTTCCCATTTCCATACAAATTTCAATCAATATGCTTTTAAGTGCAATCACATATGTAATAATTTGCGGATTTATGTCTATAAGAGAAACGTGTATTCGCTTTTCTTTATGGATCGGTGTTGTTGGATTTGAATGTAATACGATCTGTGATAGTAATACTCATATTTTATAATCTCTATTTAATTTGTTTTCACCATATTAATACCCTAACACTATCCCATATATAAAACCTAATGGTAATTTGTCAATCTAGCTAGATCACCATCGTTTGAATGAATCTGA